TGAAAACCTTCAAATATGAAATTCATTTAATTAAAATAACTGCTAATTACTGTACATATATAAATCATATACCAATTTTTTTACAGGCTCTACTGAAAAATCGTAATATTTGTTGAGAGTTAGAATGTTGTTAGAATGGAAATGAAGTGAAGGTTGTTAGAACTTAGAATGGATGCAATTTATATTAACATTTATTTAAAACTTTTTATGATATATTTCCTGACATATTATGTACTATATATAGTCTAACGGCATGAGTGAATATTTGCAATTGTATTTGTTTTCCTTATTTTACGAATAATTTAATTTGGTAAATAAATAGACATGAGTCTTTTTACTTAAAGTTTCGTTTAAGACTCAGATAAAACATTGAATAAGACGCATTTGTGAAAAGGGAACTTTACATGAAAGAATGGCAACTTTCAAGACTATTATAAATTTTCCTCCTCGTAGTAATAAACTTCTTTTAAACCTTACCATTAGCCAGATCCATTAGAAGTATTTTTATTATTTAAACTGTTGATATTATAGAAAAAGTCACAACGATTCATAAAATATATTGTTATAATAACACGTATAGGTTTATCTAGAGTTAAAATAAAATCCTTACTATTGAGAACAGGAAGACCTTATTGTTAAGATACCTAAGAACTTTTATGAATTATTTAAAAATCGAAATCAATACTCATACATTTTGACTCAATGTATAAAAACATTTTTTGAAGTCTTTTTATTATTCTTCTTTGTATGAATCATTGGAAAGATATATATGAGAGCTACCAGCTTTAATAACGGATGCGACATTAAAATAATTTGAGGCTGTCATCAATTCTTATTAAACCTCATTAGTATTTATGATTATTGTTAGAAGTAAAACAAAATCAAAGGTTGTTTAAAAAGAATAGAACTATGTTTAAATCTTGGTATAAATATGACGTCTGGACTCACGACGGCAGAATTCAGAATTGAGAGCTCAGTGTTCAGTGAGTGCGTATCATTGAAATATGTGATTATGAAGAACCTTCGAGAAATACAGGAACATTAAGAACAATTGAAGTTTCATTTTAAAATATCATTGAATGTTCTAGAAGAAATGACATTAATTACGTCAATGAGACTAACGCGTCTCTCTTTTAAAACAACGAATTTGTAATAAATCCGATATATACAATGTTACTTTAAGCCAACCATAATTAATTATTTACTGATAAAAATATACATTTGTAAACTTCTCGTCCAATTTAATCAAGAGTACAAGAAAATGTGGCAGAATGCTTTCTGCGTGCAAGTGAATGAAGACGGAATGGCTTACCAATCGCTTCTGTAGTCTTCTATATGTATGTGTAATGTGTACATATACGTATGTACAGAGCCAACCTTTTACTGCAACATTATATATTAATTATAGAATATTAACTAAGAAAATTCTTGTAATGGGTTTTGTCTACTACAAAAAACCGAAAAGTATTCCTTAAATAAAATATTATATCTTTAGGTATCTATCTAATTTTCAATTTCCTATCATTTCCTATGACTTTTGTCGCACCTAATCTCGGTAGGTCAATATTTGTAATACTTGAGTGGAGAGTGTTTAATGAGATTGGAGACTTGAAGAGAAAATTTCTTTTAAGGCTAATAATAATAATCTAATATAACTCTAATAAATAAGAAAAATTATTTTTGTAATTTTCATTTGAATTTTACACATTGCAACAAGCGCTCTGACTCATAAGACGAAAAACAGCTATTACAAAATACTTCACGCCGGCTGTGAGAGGATGGTACTTCCCCGGTGGAGCCAGCCCATGTTCGAACTGAAGCAACTTGACCACAACCAGGCTCTTCTGATAATGTGTTAGACTTTAGATTTCAAGCTGTTCCATACTAATTATTTCATTTCTTTTCTTCTTAAGTATTCTTCGTCAATACTTAAGGATATTATTCCCCTTTTGTGTGATACCTATGGAAATCTGTTCATAATTTTTACGAGTTTTGACTGGGAACTGATCAGGATTAAAGGAAACCCACACATCTAGTTAGATATCTCATTAAGAAATCTCACCAAAACCTTACATACTAAGCTACCGTTAACAAATCTGTCAGAGCGCTCACCACCTTTGCGATGCTGAACGTCTTGAGGTCTTTGCAAAACATGCCTTTAATATGAATAACTTACTTCTGCCTCACCATTATGGCAAGAGACATTTGAAGCCCATAGTTAAGCTACAACGTGCAATATATGAAAGAAGTTACTAATATAATAATTAATATATTGAAGAAAAGTTTTTTTTTTAACCATATAAAATAAAACATTCGTTTTGGTAAACCATAGATAAAAAGATATAATTAAAATTAAACCAAGTGGGATCCATTGAAATTAAAAAACTCCCAATTTTAATAGAAAAGATGACGTACAATAATCTATCTAACATCTATTCCCTCAACAAAATACAAAATCCAATGTCTGTGAGTCCCTAACCAGACTTCAATAAATGGAGAATAAAAAGTAGATGACAAATAATTAGACTAACAGAGAGACACTTATATCCCGTGATGTAAAACTATTGAAACGAAGTATACAACGTATATTGTTATTTTAAAGTATACAATGTTATATTAAATCCCGTAGTATATCCGAAAAACATGGTTTTATTATATGAAGTGTAATCAATTGTCATGCCATTGATTTACAACAAATGCCATGTATCAAAAGTAGTAGGTATTATCTGTAAACAAGCACATTGATGGCCACTTTCTCACAAATTACAACTTTATTAACTTATCATCCCTTTTAGAAAAATGTGTTATTTCTTATTAACATTCTGACTACATTGTGTTATATTTTTAATAATTATATACTTGATCTTCTATCTTCTACCTGGCAAATTCCCGGCTTTAGCCAGGGTCTGCCTTACATATTGTGAATAATTTTGGCTAATTGTTTTTACGACCAGCCGCCTACCTGACATTAACTCTCTTTGGGAATGAATTAATCAGTGGTGTCTAAATACTCATAGAAAGTACATACGACTTGGAAAAATCACATTGGTACTTGCCACGAGCGAACTCGCGCCCTCATGCATGAGAGGCGGACCAGTAATTATATACTTGATGTGACCTTAAAACCTGACGATGTACAGAATGCCTAAATTTGAGAGGTTAAACTCATTTTGAAGAGTTTAAAGCACAGAACTTAATTACTTTAAGTATGATGTACATATTAAACTAGTCTGAGGGTTACAAAGCTAATACCAATTTATAAATATATTTCTGTAAGTAGAAAATACCTCCTAATATGAATTTAAAAGTGATACTTGATATGAATTTAAAAGTGATACAGTATATAGTTACACAGCATAGATGTAAATTGATTTTAGTACATTTTGTTGTACTGTTCGTGTTTTAATAAATTTCCCAATGTTGTATTTGTATAGACGTAAAATATGTGTATCTATTGTAGTTTACAGTGACACATGTTCTATTAGGATATATAACATTTTTAGCATTAAAATATTTTATACATTATAATATCACACACTCACACATTTTGCCAGAGATAACGTTACCAATATTATTTTCTTAGAATAAAACCGAAAAAGTTCAGGTGTTTATAATTAAAAATCAATTCTTCTCGTCTTATTTCATTTTAACAATTAATAATAATTTATTACTTCAGTTAATTTCTTTTCGCCTTGATTTCCTTAATATTTTATTATACAGTTCTTATCCAGAATTGAAAGATAATTTAATTAAGAGATACTTTTACTTCTTATTGACTGTTCAGGTAAATTAATTGTGACCAATTGTTAACGGCTTTTATCTACCGAAAATCGTTTTCATTTAAATTTATGTGCTTACGACATCCTCCACCTTTAAAAGATATTTTTTTATATAGTTTGTTCAATAAAAAATAATCCAAAGATTAATATAAAAGTGGGATAATTTTTTTCCATTACATTGATTTTCTATCCGCGCCAATTTCATTAGAGATTTTTTTTATCGTTTCAAAGATTAGTTGTAGCAACCATAATGTCAATAATAAAACAAGCTTTTCATATAAATAAAAAAAATGTTATCACAATATTATAATCAAGCACTTCAATTTGGTTTAATGTAAATATAATTAATCGTTATTTAAGAGTAAGGTAAACTCACTAGTAGTTGACCATGTACCTGTAGTTGACCACTAATGCACATAAACCGTTATAATAAGAATTCGCGGCAATTTTTAAAACTCATTCGTTAATAAGTAGTCAGATCTGCTATCTGGTCAACTAAGAGCGAAAATTGCGCATCCATATCTGTAAAATATAGAAAGTGGCTGCCAGTTGTTTGTTGAGTGACGGACCATAAAATCAATAAATTCGTTTGTTGTTACAATATTCGCAAAGACTGAAAAAGTTTGAAGCTAAATACTAGGAACTTTATCACCTTGTTGACGGTAAGTGTTTTTCATTTCTTATTCGTTTATGGTTTATTTATATGACAGGCTAATTAAAATTTGAAGATTTGTTGACAATATTGAGATGTGGGGGTGGTCCAATACTAATTCCGTTTGACTGTGATTTTCTAGTAATTGACCATGGTGGTCAACTTTTGATAAAGTTCTGTATCTTGTAAATATGCTGCATATAATAATTAATTAAAATAAACTATTTTATTTACTTTAACAATATATTGATTTTCTTTAGTAGTTGACTAACTGTATGGTACAAATTTATGACTATGGTTTACTTATTACTAAAACCAATTTTTCATCTTGTAGATGACTGGGAAAAGGGGCGCATTCCTAAATTATACTGAAGCTGCAATGCTTGCAGCAGTGAACGATGTTCGTCTTCATAAAACACCAATACGAACGGCTGCAAAAAGTTCGGTGTACCAAGAATAACGCTTACAAATAAAGTAAAAGGGAAGTCACCGATGGAACGAAAAATTGGTCCGACATCCATCCTCACACCAGAAGAGGAGCATAAAATATGCGACTGGGTGCAAAAAAAATGGCAAAAGCGGGTTTTCCTGTGACAACCGAACAGTTAATTGTGAGTGTAGAGCAATACTTAAAGGAAATAAAACGTCCATGTGTCTTATTCAACCATGGAAGACCAGGTAGAACATGGGTAAAGGCCATTATTCGGAGAAATCCAACCATTTCCAAGAGGATATCACAAGATTTGACAGCATCGAGAGCCAAGGTAACAGGTGATCACCTATCAGAATGGTACAAACGAGTGTATAAGGAGTTGGAAGATAGTGTCCAGGCCTAATTATTATTATATTTCAAATAAAACGTTTTCTTTTCGTCTTATTTTGCTTTTTATTTAACAAATAACCCAATTAAAATTGTAGCATCTGAGTGGTCAACTACTGATGCAAAATATGGTCATCTTCTAGTTTTTAGATGGTCAACTACTAAATTTCTAACATTAAAATATTTTTATTTTTTTTTAATTTTATTCGTCCATTTTACGTGGTGAAATACTAGTTCATATATTAAAACACTTTTCACAGTGTTTCCCAAAAAAGAAACTTACTGAATTCATATGATAATTAAAGTCAAACATTTAAAAAGAATATTCTGTCTCCTTAAGTGGTCATCTACTGGTACTTTTACCTTACATACACTACTCTCGTCGTTCTAAGTTTTCATCACTCAGTATTTGTATCCTAACAATTTCGTCTTCGGAACAGTATTCAGTTCAAAGGCATAAATGAGCCCAAAAGATAAACGATACGATGTCGACAGTTAACGTTGTAATCGATTCTTTTGTTGTATTATTCTTCTTCTTCGATAAATCGAACTATTAAAAGATATATTATTCTTTAAATTACAGTTGAGAGATTTTGCAATAAATGTGTCGAGGTTCCATTAAGAGTTGCGATACGAGCAATTGATAAACAATAAACGCTTCAGTTTAAACACTTGTTTATAATTAAAATTAATCTCAATCACTTAACAATTAAAAGGTTAGTTATTATATATCTAAAGTATTTAGAAATTGTGAATTAAAGTCCGAATAAAAAAAATAAAAAAAATGGTTTTTTTAATTATTGGCAAGTTGGAAACGTTTTACTAAATGCAGCTATCTTAAAACGTATCTTCTATTCTGATCTCACTGACTGAACCTAACAGCAAAAGATTGGAATGTACTTATACAAAGTTTTATACCCAACTTAAAACTAACTGATATCTATATACGTAAAGTAAATATAGAGAAACACAATTTATATATTTTAAACACAATTGATTAATCGAAGCACTAGAGAAGGGGATATTTTCTGAAGGTCCCGAACGGAAGAGCTCGAAGAGGCCAGGATAGGTTCAATAATCACCTTCGGGACAGAATTATTAACTTGGACTTTAACCAAAATACATCTGGAATTGATTATATTTAAATGAAGTACATATATACACCCAGTGGCGGGGCAAGACCTAAATTTGTTGTGGCCAAGACAGATTTCGCGAGGCCTTATTCTATGGCAACCTGAAGCTCTTACTACCTGCTAGTTTTAAAAACTTAACGTTGATACGTTTTTTATCCTTAAAGCTTTGGTTTCCTTCAAAAGATATTATAAAGCCTATTTTGTATACAAGTTATTACTGTGTTAGATACTTATTACCAATTAAATATTAAATATTTCTTACTTTATGTAAAATAGATTAGTACAGGTACCGGTGTAATTACAAATCACAAAGAAAACAAAAGCAATTAAAAAACGTTACTGTTTTCGGGGGCAATCAATATACTTAAACACTATCTATTTATTCGCTAAATATTATTAAAACATTAAACACACTCTTCTTATTAAAATAGGTTTAAGTAATTAATTCTCATTTCCACAGAGGGTTTACATCAGGCAGGCGACCGGTCGTAAAAACAAATAGCCAAAACTAATCACAACATGTAAGGCAGACCCTAGGTATAGCTGGGAAATTGCCAGGAAGCAGAAGAAGAACAAGATTTTTTTTATTCTCGCTTTAAAATTTTTTGAGGCGCGAGGCCCTTTTTACCGCGAGGCTGTAGGCGGTTGCCCACGTCGCCCACGCCTTACGCCGCCACTGAACCTCAGTGAAGCACCGTTTAAAATATTATAAATTAGGTAAAAATGTTCTTCATTACTAAAAAATAGACGTGTGGCACTCGGGGACTGCCGCGGTAAAGCTATTGCATAGCATTTTGTATCAACTTATGCAATTATAATTATTTATTTTTATTTTATTCATGCAGTATTTCTTTTTCTTTGATATTAATTCAAGTTACACTTTTTGAGTGTGGTGACCGATAAGAAAACAAATTTTTCTTTTATTAAATAAATAAAATGTTAATATTGTTTAAAATATTTTTATTATTTTATTTAAAATATTTTTATTATTTTACAATACATGTAGGTTTTATTATCTTACAGTAGCTGTTGGTTATTCAGGAATATTTATCATTGAAACTATAGATTTATGATAACTGAAATTAGAAACATAAGTTTGCGACTTAATATCCTCTAAATACTAAATTTCTCTAAATACTAAATATCCTCTAAATACTAAATATCCTCTAAATACTAAATCGTCCGATTTCGGAGCAGCTCGTCTCGATTCGTGCGAGTTTCGTAGAGTCGTACAATGCGTCTAATCGCACGCACACAACGCCGTGTCGAAGACTGCCGAACTGAAACGACGTTAGACGATCCACGGCCTTCAAGCCACACCTCCGTGCCCGTCGGAGTGGGGAGCGTGAGGTTTATTCGTTACGGAATTTCTGGATTAGGTCCCCGCGCTCAAGGCCCCCGATAGAAGCTATGGAATAGCTTAATATCCTTAGAGTACAGTTTTTTTGTAATTTTTTATACAAATTTTCAGTCCCACGTAGGTCTTGGTTTTTTTCTAAGCAGAGTGTCTTCCGGTGATATGTGTATCGGATTTGTAAAATCAATTTCTATATTCTCTGGTATAGTTTGAAAGTATGCGCTCCCTCTTGTGTTATCTGAAAAGTGTTTTTATTTATTAGATATTTATTGACCATTACAGTTCTTTAGTTTGTTTCTATAGAAAAAGTAAAATTGACATTTCAGTAAAAAAAAATGATTCACTGTTACTAGTACAGTTCACCTTTAGTAAATTGTATAAAAAAACAAACTTTGAACTATTACAGTTATTCAAAGTCTTAGAACAGTATCAATTACAAAATAGGAACTCTAACGTATTTATTTGGTTTTATTATGCATTTTGCTATACCTTTAAATGAATGAGCACTTTTTAATAGGATCATTAAAATATACAAAATTTAGAAGATTTTTTATATAATTCGTAAATGATTCCTTTATTGGTATTTTACCTAACTATTACAATGATTTGGTTTGACATTATTTTAGTGACATCTTGTGAATTAAATATAGCGGGCTGTCAAATATGAGGGGGGAAATTATAAAATAAATATCTTGGTTGATAAATACCTATTATAACAATTCAATACTTTTCAGATAACACAAGAGGGAGCGCGTATTTTCAAACTATACCAGAGAATATAGAAATTGATTTTACTAATCCGATACACATATCACCGGAAGACACTCTGCTTAGAAAAAAACCAAGACCTACGTGGGACTGAAAATTTGTATAAAAAATACAAAAAAACTTTACTCTAAGTTATTTTAAGTAATGAAGAACATTTTTACCTAATTTATAATATTTTAAACGGTGTTTCACTGAGGTTGTACTATGTATAGTCATTTTTATATTTATTGACTGTATCAATGTGATGTATGTACCATAAGATTATATTCCTATACTTATATTATTGAATATATTATGATTAAATTATGTTCAATATGTATCTTTATTTTGAAATTCTCAAGAAAGAAAAACAACTCTATACTTAATGAAACTTCTTATTGAAAATGGTATTTAACACCAAAATTTATTTTTTGTTTTAAGATATCTATAAGATAAAGTTGTGTTAGTTACACTATTTATAACTCAAGAACGGCTGTACGGATATATGTAGTAGGAAATTGGCAGGAAGATAGTGCAGAAAAAGGAGACGGACATAGGATATTTAATTTTATAAATTTTAATGTGGTTATAGTGCCTCTATCTGTGCCTCTATCTCTCAGTCAGCTATACATATATTACTTATTCAGAAATTTACGCCAACGAAGTCGCGAGCTAAAACTAGTTAAAAAAATATATAATAATGAAACAAATTCAGAATACTAAATAAATTATACCAATAATTAAACCTATTTATTATATATTATATTATAACAATATTCATACTCTTATATTCCTGATAGCTGCTAAAAACTTTGATTGGTCTGTAAAAAACCAATTCCACAACTTCCTCATATAATGTTTATCGTTTTTCTGAAAAAAATAATTGTAATTACAATATTTCAAATTATTATCTATAACTTTTTGTCATGATAGTCAATTTAATTGCTTTTAAAATGCAAAAAAAATATATATAATGAGATCTAAGACTTTCGCGTATATTCATTTAATAAAAACTAAAAGTTTTCTGATTACTACATACGCGTTATTATATATTTTTTTAAAACTACATACTCCCGACGTTACTGTTACTTTTCACCAACCGTGATAACGGTAAACATCTTTTCGACCATTAAAAATAATAAAATACTCGTAGTAATAGGAAAAATTCAAATTCAAAAAGAGGTTCATTCAAATATTATTATTAAAATTCACAATGTGATCACTTTATGACACCATAATCTTAATATATTGATTGTAAATACTAGTTACATAAGTAACTATCTAATTTACTAGAAGTAACCTAAAAGAAGTTACCTAAGTAGATACTTAGGTAAGTATCTTTCATTACCTTAACATCATTGAACATAACGCTTGTTTCAACGATCCTTTCATCCACAACATCTCTGTCTTGTATCAGTCGGTGTCTCATGGCTGAAATGACTGTGTTGTTGCAGTTTGGTTGTTTTGTACAACTGTACCGATGACTTCTTACTGAAAATTTATTGTCATATATATATAAGACACTTGGAAGTAACAGTTATAGTAGCTATTAATATTATATGTATATTAATACTAAGTCAGTATGTTGAGTGTTAATACATAAGTTTATTCATTTAATTGGTTCGGCCTAAAGAACTGAGCCTTTAAGGGGTTGTCCATTAATCACGTGATCTTTTTTTAGCATTTTTTAACCCCCCCCCGCCCCCATTGGTGATACGTAGTGAGGTTTAAGACCACCCCCCTCCCCCTTCTCAACATCACGTGTATTTTTAGTAGCTA